GGAAGGAAGGAAGGAAGGAAGGAAGGAAGGAAGGAAGGAAGGAAGGAAGGAAGGAAATAGGCAGAGAGGGAACTGAGGCAGGGAGCTGATCTTAGGCCCTCTCCCTCTCTTCTTTGTAGGCCAAGCGGGCAGTTCAAAGAGGAGCCACAGCTGTCATTTTTGATGTGTCCGAAAATCCAGATGCCATTGATCAGGTATGCAGTTTGTGAGCTCCCTCTGCGTGCGTGAGCGTGTGTCAGTATATATAGATATTACAGTATTTATAGCAGCGGAGTACAGGAAAGTCAAGGCTTTAAACATCAACTGCAATAATGAGAAATATTCAGTGAAGACTCTTGCATATTGTAGGCGCCATTCGGGTAAAGAAACCTAAATACGGAGGGCCTGTTTTGGCCTGTAGAGTGGAAGCAGGGCTCCACAAAATGGCTGCTGCCGCAGAGGAAGCCTGTGGTCTGGCCCACCTCCGTGAACTTTGCCAGGAGGGGGACCTGCAGCCAGTCTGATTCGGGCAAGTGTGCCTGAAGTCTCCTGCTGCTGGTCCGGATTGGAGCAGTTTCAGAAGAGGTCCTGTTCTCACCTGGTGGCATTGACCTCTCAGGAGTGCAGCTTTGTATTTTGTGCCAGGTGCAGCTTTGGGCTCATTTCCAAAGGGTACCTGGTAGTCCCAAGTGCTCTACTCTCTTAAGGACTGAAGCGTATTGGAGAGGGTGGGGGTGGAGGGTGTGTCTCCTTTGGGTTCCTGCTCAGCAGAGAGGCAGCCGAAGAAAATTGGTATTCACTCTGTCTCCTTCCTTGCAGCTGAACCAGGGCTTGGAAGATCCACTGAGAAGACCAGTTGTTTACGTGAAGGGGGCAGATGCAGTCAAGCTGATGAACATTGTTAACAAACAGAAAGTCGCACGGGCCAGAATCCAGCACCGTCCGCCACCAGTAAGTCCTCAGGACAGTGCAGGTCCAGTCAAGTGACCAGACTGCCTCCTAGTTGAAGTTTCCATAGTCAGGCTGTGGACATTGCCCCCTCTTATTAGCAGGGAGGGTTCCTCTTAGGTCATTCGATGACCCTTAGCTGTCAGTTCTCTGAGGCATTACTGGGTTTTCCAGCCTCTGGACCAAGTGGAACTGTTCTTCAAAGAGTATTTCTGCCTGGGCTCCACTGAGGCATAATCCGTTTGTGGTGCTTTTAAAAAGATCCAAAGGGAATCCCAACAGCAACTGGCAGCAGCTCACTGTGGCAAAGGGAAGGGCCAGTATGAGCCAAGCAGGAATGGGTCTTGGTTCCCAAAGGAGGCTGTGGTTAGCCGTGATCACTCCAAAGCCAGCAGAAGTGGGAGAAGGAGGGGTGATTTTGCTGGATTTGGAGGATCAGTAGGGCCCCTACAGGGTTGGGATGGGTGGACAGAGGACTTACCGAATCTTACGATAGTGGATCTTCAAAAAGGTTCTCAACCAAACGGCTTGCTCAGTCTTCGATGGGGAAAAGAAGCAGCTAAAATGGAGGAGGACTAATTATGCACAGAGATGCGTTTTCAAATGTGCCGGCTGCTTCTTTAGTCTCCGGGTGGAGAATGTGTGCCCTCCTTGCTGAGACAGGCAGTCAGGAAGGAAACGGTGATGGCTGGGGCAGGATGGATGCCAAACTTCCACCTGTAGTGCATTGCAAAAATCTCTTCCCAGAGGAGGAACTCAGCAAGATAGAAGCGAGAGTTTGCCCCATGGGAAGATTTTGGGGCACGTAGTAGTTTCCTTTCCAAACGTATGCCTATTTGGCTTGGCGCTGGACGGGTTATTTGGCACCAACCCCAAGAAAACATGTGCTCTGGTATAAGGCCGCGGTCCTGGGCAGGTGCGCCTAAGTCGCTTGCTTTTCTGTGCGTGACTGGTGGAGTCAGAGATCCAGTTACCTGCAGCATTTTTGTACTTGTGTATGGGGAGCCCAGGCTTCCTAGGAGTGATTTCTAACCGGCGTGCTGAGAGATCTCCGGGCATGAGATTTTTCTCATCCTAGTCACGGGCTGCCAATTAAAAAATCTAAGAGGTTTTGTTAATGCGTTGTGGGAAGTCTAATATGCCTCTTTCTGTCTCCTGCTTCCTCCATCCCATCGGTTCCAAAGCAACCTACCGAATACTTCGACATGGGGATTTTCTTGGCGTTTTTTGTGGTGGTCTCTCTTGTTTGCCTTGTTCTCCTAATCAAGATCAAGCTGAAGCAGCGCCGCAGCCAGGTAAGTTAGGCAGCCCGCTCACGGAGACTGCCGGAAGGAGACGCGCTGCCCTTGGGACAGGTTGGTGCCTCTGCCGCGTCGGGCATCCTGGCCCAGTGCCGTGTGCCTTTGCCTCGGCGCGAGGCCAGGATTCTTTCTGCCAGTCTTCCTAGCGGCAGAAGCACATGTCTGGAACTGCTGTTGAATAGACTCGTGAGACGCTTGACCTGTAGTGAATTGCTGACGTGCGATATGGGCCAACTCGTAGGCTGGATTAGGGGTTTTGCTCCCGAACGCCAGTTCTCTCTTTCTCAGGGCCGCCTGCAATAGCAGAGTCTCAGTGAGGAGGCTCCAGCTTTTGAGGGGCTGTGCAGACATTGGGTGTTTTGTGTTCGCGTTACGGACGCAGTCACAAATGGGTGCCTTGGTGGACGGGCCTGCCTACCAGGAGGAAAACAGCACCGGGCTGCAGCAGTTACTTATTGCTTGATTTTCTACAAATGCCTCTGAAATCTGTGTGAAGTCAGATGCATCATATATGTGTTGCTTGAGGCTGGTAATCTGGTTTGCAGCATCCTAGCTTTCAACTGATTTTTTTAAAATTAAAAGGATATTAAAAATCAAATTAGGTTGGGCAGGAAATTTGGAAGTTAGGTGCCAGGAGCACCGTGCTGAATTATGTCTTGCTGAAGGGGAAGGATAGGCCAAGCAAGACTTTGAGATCAGTGTGGACAAAACCAACTGGCCTTGTTTGAGGCTGTCCGGGGAGCGGGCCCTGTAATTTAAAAAGATGATCTGTGTTTGACAGAATTGGGTTAAGTGTGGCAGCAGAAACTTCCAGGCTGTGAAATTGCTATTTCAGTTGGTCTGGAGGGCTCAGGAAGCTTGGGCACAGGCTGCAGGTTTGAGGGCAATGTCACGTGCTGTCTTAAGCAGCTCTTCTGCAGCTATTTGGAACCCGGTTTCCTGTGAGCACCAGTGAACCTGGAAAATGTCACGAGTCATGGAAATTGTAGCCTAAAACGTCTGTAGGGCACCAACCTGGAGAGGCTGTTGCTTCGCTAGCCGATCCCAGCTAGGCACAGCCCTGATTCCTCCTTTCCCTTCCTTGCTGGAATACAGCCATGACTTGGCCACCTCAGTCAGACCAGGCGCTGGCTGTCCTCTAGTCCGAGGCTAAGAATGGGGGTGGCGGGGAGAAGAGAGGAAGCAGCTTGCCACCGGGAGCTGCATCAGGGTTTCTCCTCTTGCAGAATTCCATGAATAGGCTTGCTGTGCAGGCACTGGAAAAGATGGAGACTCGGAAGTTCAAATCCAAGCTGAAAGGGCCCTGTGAAGGCAGCTGCGGTGCCCTGGACACCCTTAGCAGCGGGTCTACCTCGGACTGTGCCATTTGCCTGGAGAAGTACACGGATGGGGAGGTGAGGGGCCGGAAGAAGCCCTGCTGCTGGCTAGTGGCCGATCAGTACAAATCAGGGCTCGTTACATATTTCTGAATGGCTTAGTTACCCAGCATCCGGGGCAGGGTGGCTCGCCTCCTGGTTCCATCAGGTGGGACTTGCGTGGAGGACAGCGATAGCCGGCATTGCCACAAGTGGAGCTGCCCGGGTCTCTTCACGCGGGCATCAGGAGAGGCGTTGCCCACTCCCCCCATCCTTGGGCAACTTCCTCTCACCTGGGCGAGCGAAGCAACGTGTGTTCTGGGCAGCCCTGCCTTAGCAAGCTCAAAGCGAGCTGTGTGAAGGAACTGGGAAGAGATCCTGGAGGCCCGGGAGAGCTGTTCAGCTGCAATGTTGCTTCTGCAGGAGCTCCGTGTGATTCCCTGCACCCATCGGTTCCACAGGAAGTGCGTGGATCCTTGGCTTCTGCAGCACCACACTTGCCCCCACTGCCGCCACAACATCATTGGTGAGTTGCCGGAGCCTGTCCCGCAGCTGTGTCCTTGAAGAGAAGGACAGCTGTTCGAAACCGCTGGAAGGCACGTCTTCCTGCTGGTGGATGAGCAGCAGAGGATGGGCTCACAGCGGGCTGGCAGGCGGGCAGGGTCTGCCCTTGGGAGATTGGGGTTGGCTCCTCTCCAGCTTCAGCTGAACACCTCCCTCCCCTTTTATGTGCAGAGCAGAAGAAGGGAAATCTGGCGTGCGAGGAAATGGCTAACCAGTTACGCGGCCGGCAGCAGCAGCGCATGATCCTGCCTGTTCGCTTCTCTGGCCGAGCACACAGAGGTGGTCAGGTCGCTGCCTACCCCACGCGCACCAGCATGGATCACCACGGGAATCCCATCACTGTCTTGACAGTCGACCAGCACGGAGAGACCCCAGCCTTCTTCCGAAGCTACCCGCCCATCCTCCGCCTGGAGCCCCACCCAGGCGCGGCAGAGCGCCAGCCCTGCCCAATGCCTCGCCCTCTTCAGAGGCCGAAGTTCAGTGGCGACCCCTTCTCCAAGCCGGCTTGCTTCTCCCAGTACGAGACCATGTTTCGGCACTACTGCTTCCAAGGCCTTAGCTACCCTGAGCACCAGAGTGGGCAGTTCCCCCTGAACTTGGCTGCCAAGGGCCCCTCCCGTACCTTCCAGCCTCTTGGCAGCCATGGGCTCTTCCCCCCCGTGGCCCCCGCGGCCCCTTCCTCCCAGCCGGAGAGTGGCAGCGCTTCCGGCTTCAGCTGCTATCACAGCCACCGCTCTGTCTGCAGCGGCTCCCTGGCCGACGGCCCTGGCAGCGACAGCAGCAGCAGTGGCGGCGGCCGCTCTGCCCAGTGCCACTGCTCCTCCAGCGACTCGGTGGTGGACTGCACAGAGGTCAGCAACCAGGGAATCTACGGGAGCTGTTCCACCTTCCGCAGCTCGCTGAGCAGTGACTACGACCCCTACATCTACCGCAGCAAAAGCCCCTGCCGGGGGGCTGAGAAGAACAAGGCCCTCCATGGGGAGGGGGCACTTCTGGAAGGCTCCTCCGCACTGCACCCGGTGGCAGGCAAGAGCCAGTCTGGGCCAGCCACCGCAGCGGGGGACCAGCTATCTGACTGCAGCCTTGAAATGAATTGCAGCAGCAGTAGCAGCAGCAGCCGCTCTTCGCTGGAGCAGAAGGAATTCACCCGCAGCCTCTCTGAGCGAGGAGGCCCAGGAGTGTTTCCCGAGAGCGCTGGAGAAACTGGTCGGACTGTTAGGGAGCCTCGTGAGCGAGCGTGTGCCTGCTGCTCGGAGGCACAAGGTGCCCCATGGGAATTGCTGGGTAGGGCAGCCGGGGGCAGCAGCGTGCTGCTTCGGGGCACACCTCTTTGGACACAGTGCGGCTCTGTGTGGGAGCCCCAGGCAGGGAGAAGTCAGGGTCTGGTCAGTGTTAGGATACAGGGGGTCCCGCGTGAGGCCTTGCCCTGCTGCTTCTACGAGGAGAAGCGGGTGGCCAGCGGTAGCCCCATCCGGCCAGCCCAGTACATGGAAGACTGTGAGGTGAATGTTCGGTATGTGTGTGCGGAGGACCCCTTGCCAGGCTGCTATCCAGGCCTACGTGACGTGGGCCAGTGCATTGCTATTATTCCCGAGGACCGGGACTCCGAGCTGGTGCTCCCGGCAGATTGCGACAGTGGCGGCAGCCCTCGGGAGGGGCCGCGTGGAACAGCAGTCCCTAGCCAGGCCCGGGGGCCTCCCGCAAAGGCGTTTGGCGAGTCACGAGAGATATGGCAAGAAGGGTCAGGCCCGCCGGTTGTGGGCTTCCCGCAGGAGGAGTCCAGTGGGCTCTTTTCCAGCCCTCCGCAAAGTTGTTTGGAGGCAGCAGCTGCTGGAGAAGGCCCCCAGACTTTGGGTAAGTCGGCAGCACCATCGTGGCTGGAGGCAGGGTGGGAGGGGCAGGGAGGAAAGGGAGGCTCCTTCGTCCGGCTGAGCCCAGGCCCCCTCAGCTGCTGGCGAAATGCCTCCTGAGGGCTATGGGGGCACTGGCCTGAGCTTGTTCCGTCCAAGTTTGGGATCCCACGAGCCTTGGAGCTGCATCGGCGGCAGCGGGAACGGCCTTGGGAGCAGCCGCTTGCGTTCGGTGCTGAAGTGGCACAAGATCTGCGCCCCTGCCCTGAAGGCGCCCGGATATGGGACGCTTGGCTGAGACTCAGGAACAGTCTCATTTTTTCAGGCTGCTGTTCCCCAGGGCAGTGTCAGGTTGGGGACTAATAAGAAGAGGACGGACTGGATGCGGCTGTGTTTCTGCTGGACTCCAGAGCCCTCTTTTGTTTGCGTTGACTCGTGACGGGAGTAACCTGGAGAAACTCGGGCTACGTGCCGCTGCCTGAGGCGCAGAGCATCTTTGGCAAACCACGGTGTCACCCGCTGCCGCTGCCTGGGGACAAGAGGCCCAGCTGCATAGCTGGCTCATGCGGTGCGCCCTCCTTCTGCGCCAGGGGATCCGGCCTGCCTTAGAAAAGAAACGGCACTTTGAAATAAACGGAGTCCGAGGGGCAGAGGCTGCCTGTCCATTCGTGTGGAAAGGCAGACCCTCTCCCTAAGTCTGACTGCGATGGGTGGAAATAGGCCTGAGCAGAGGCCCAATTCCAGCAGTGCCTTCTGCCCCCCAGTGCTGCAGGTGCCGTGGGCTCTGCCTGAGCCCCGCGGCACCTGCCTGCTTGCTCTGGTTGAGAGCCTCGGCCGGGGATCCCTCCCTGCCACTCCGGGGTTCAAGTGTGCTGCCGCCTCCTTCCCCTTGTTAATAGTTTCCTATGGAAACATCCCTTCTGGCTGCTGCAGCCACAGCTGCGTGGTTTCCTAAGGCATGCCCTCCGTGCGGCTGAGACCGTGGCAGTTGCCGCGTTTTGGCGTCTCTGGATGCTATTCCTGTCCTTCTCTGTGCCCGACTGGAGATATGGGCAGAGGGCTTTTTTTGTTTAAAACATAGAAGGTGCCTAGATTCCCCCCCCTCCCCGGGTTTAATTGGTTAATATGTTGGGATGAGCAAAGGTACTGAACTTTTCATTTTCTGCCCAGTTTATGAAAAAGGGGAAGATTTTGTAATGAAAAGACCCAAGAATCATACCTGTTAATAATTTCATAATTATTAGTTTATTGTAGTAGACTGACATGATGAAATTCTTTTCTGAGCTTCAGTACTTCTTGTTCTAACCCTGTGTGTGTTTGTGCCCATGTCAGTATTGCGTGTTTTCCCCTCAGCAGCCCTAATCTTGTGGCCTCTGATCACACGGAGGCAACATTTCTGAGGCTTTGAAGAGTATGTGGCCCTCAAGCAGGAAGCCCTCTCCTTCCATCCTTTATCAAGACCTCTCTTACTGCTTCAGAAATCTTTCTCCTCATTGCCACTACATAAAATATATTTTACTTCTGCTTCTGTGTCCCTTCCTTGTTATTTACTTCAGTTGGTGGACAGTGTAGTAGGGGCTCCTTTTGCGACAGTCGTTTCCATCTGTTCCATGTCCCTCATTTGTGTTTTTGGAAATATTTTTCTAAAGTTTCTGCCTGATTTAACTTTTCTACCCAAGTCCTACATAAATAGTGGTTCCATTTACGTACGTCCCTGGATAAGGGCATGAGATATCTTCAAGCATATGGCGCCATCTCCCTGAGCAGCACCTCCAGAAGCGCGATCCTAGGCACGAAACATCCAGATTCTCAAGACCCATCCGGTTGTCTAGTTACCGTATCAGCCTTGGCTACACTTCATGGAACAGCTGATCTTGAGGACGGTGGTTCTCAGGTGTGTTTCACAGCCCACCTTGGCTGGAGCACTGAGTGATTTAACTCGCGCTGTGAAACCTGCTCGGGCATCCCAAGAGTTTGCCTGAGTTTGCGTTTCTCCTGCAGTTCCTGGTTAGGTTTGCAGCCTGTGGGGGGTGATTCCTAGATGCTAACCAGCTGCCCTCTGGTTCAGCTGGTATTCCCCAGTCCTGATGGTCTCAATGTACCTGCCCCCCTCTCCCGCTCACTGTGCTGCAGCCTTGCTACTTTAGTGCCTTCTCCCCACCTTTGGTCTTAACACACGTGGTGTGGAAGCAGCCAACGTGATGGTGCCTGGTCTTTGTAGGTGGCCTGGGGGAGCAGCTTTTGCATGGTGGCAAGCTATAGCTGGCTTCCTGGACCCGCTGCAGAAGAGAAGCAGCCTTTTGGCTGGGGAAGAGGCTCAGAGTAGAAATGTGAAGGGGAGGCAAAGTCTTCCCATTTCCATGTTTTAGGCTTCAGGGGTTGAAGAGTGGAAATGAGAGAGATTTGCCTGCCAGAGGTTTCCAATCCCCATCTCTCCCCTCATTTTTCATTTCTGAGAAAAAAGGCTGAAAATTGGCCATTTTGCAGGTTAATGTTGGGGGCACAGTCTTGTAGTGCTGAGGTCCTATATGCGGGCTGCAGGCTCTGAATTGCTTGCTAGGATTGGTGCCTGGCATACACACTGTGGATGCTTTTAACACTGGCATTTTCTAGTCCTTGCAGTTAGGGTTAGCCAACTTACATTTCGACTCTTATCGGATACCTGGCACACAGTGCAGGAGCCGTGTTTCTTTGCTGGGGTCTGCACGGTTAATTCTATCCAGGCTGAAGACACATAGAATCACAGTGGGAAGCAGCTGTTTGAGCTCCTGAGTCCCAACTCCCTGCTCAGTGCAGGGATCTGGATTAAGCATCCCAGACAGATGGCTGTCTAGTCTATGTTTGGACACATTCAATATAGGGGAGTCCTCTACTCCCTCACTGGGTGGTTGATTTCGCTATCAAATTGTTTTTGCTATTAGGACTTTTTCTTAGTCCCTCAAATCAACCTTCCTGTAACTTAAATCCATTATTTTCTGTCCAGCACTCTGAGACGAAAGATAAATGGTTGTGAACTTTTCCTTCGTGATACTCTTCTGTTGCTGTATCGATCATCTTTTCTAAAGGCCAAGCATACCCAGCTTCTTCAACCTCTCTTCATAAGGGTTAGAGGTTTTTTTAAAAAGTTTTTCTTTATCCCACCTTTATTATTTTTAGGCAAACATACTTAATACTCCTTCCTCCTCCTGTTTTCCCCACAACCACCACCCTGGGAGGTGAGGTGGGCTGAGGGAGAGGGACTGGCCCAAAGTCCCCCAGCCGGCTTTCATGTCTAAGGCAGGACTAGACCTCACCATCTCCTGCTTTCTAGCCTGGTGCCTTCGCCACGAGATCCAACTGGCTCTCTAGTTTCCTGTCAATCTGACTGCAAGTGACTGCAAAAAAGAGGGGAAGCTGAGGTGTGGGTGAACAAATACAAGCGGCCATCTGCCCCTCCCTGCCGCAGGCTAACCTCTTTTCCCCGGCGGTTCAAAGGGGTTGAAGAGAAACCCACTACCCCAGTCGTTGAGGCAGGGCAGCAGCACAGGCCTCGCTGTTCAAGGGGATGTGCTGCCTCTCTCCCCACACTCCGAATCTTGCACGGATGCAGGTCCTGTATGCAGAGTGATTGCACAGATGACGCTCAAAGGACTACGGTGTAACCAAGAACCTCCCTACCCTTCTGGATGACTGAGCCACTGGTCGGTAAGCATCACTGAAAGCGAGAGAACAGAAGTAAGCAAGCTACTGGCGGATGTTGGAGCCTTCTCGACACATTGTCCTTTGACCTGTGAGACCCGGCTTGCTCTCTCTTTAATGCCCCCCCCAACTCCTTGTGTGTGTCTTCATTATCTTTCTACATTTTGTAGAAAAAAGTAGTTTCTTGTTGCCTATTAGGAATCCCTTCATGACAAAAGTTTTATAATGGTCAGTACAACAGATGTTTTTATTCTAAAAGGCCTTTTTATCAAAATAATTATTGCCGCTATGATGGGCTCATAAGGCACTATTTTCAAATAAACTTTTTTAAAGAAAATGAGATTTCTGTAGCACTTAACTGTTTTGTATAAAATTTACTGTAAAGATTTGTAAGATGGTTAAAGGGCTCTTTCTCCATTACCAGTTGTAATGTTTTTAATGGTAGAAAACAACTTGTTTCTATTCTGTATGTATAGCAGCACATTTCATTTATGGAAAGATGTTCTCAGAATATTTATTTACTAATATATTTATCTTAAGCCATGTCTTATTTGAGTGTGTAATGTTTTAAATAAATAATAAATAAATAAATGGGAATCGCTAACAGGAAGCAATGTAAATACACAGAGATTTCACAATTTTTGCTGACCAAAAAAGTGATTTTGAATCAAGCTGTAGCTCTCGGCAGTGTTGTAACAAAATGTACAAATGTATATTTAAAAACAAAATCTGTTAAAAAGTCGACTGTCTAGCTTGACGTCCTTTCCCGACGCTGGTCTGGCCTGGCCAGGAGAGGCCCGGCCAGAGGCGGAGACCTGGCCCGGCCTGGGGTGGATCCCGGGCGGCCCCCGCGGGCCGGGCTCCGCAGGGAGCGGGGGCGGCTTCAGGTCAGCACCGTGGTGCGGCCTTTCCTTGCCCCGGGGAAG